ATTCAAACGATGATATACCCATCCTCAAAGCGTAGAGGATGCAATTACAAGCGTTTGCATATTTTTTTTCACATTTTTCGCACTTGTAAATTAATTATTATAATTTTTTTAATGTGTTTGGTATTTTAAATTACTTTATATTTTTATTTTTAATGTGTTTTTTAATTTTTTAATCTCACTTTTTGCCTATAGTATACTATAAAATAAATAAATAATTTTAAATTTTAAAATTTATGTAGAATAATAATAGAATAATAATTAATAAACAATATATACATATCCAGTATATCTATTGTATTTTATAGTAATTGTTTTAAAGGAAAACTAATGAAAATGGCTTGAAAACTTTGAGTTTTAATGATAAGGACAAAATAAAGGGTAAAGTGAATAGTATCATGATTGACTTTTTAGTGTAAAAATGTGATTTTTCGTTAAAGTGAACAGTACCGGGTGCTTTTCGTTAAAGTTCCCTTGTTTTAATGGTTTAAAAAATTAAAATCATCAAAATAACTTTTTTCTTATCGTGTCGAAACAGGTTATCCGAGTGTCATCATCGTGTAAACTTGTTAAGGACCCGTTATTATCGGGTTCTTATTGTGTGACCCGATAACGACCCGATTAGTTATCGTGTTGATCCGAAACCTGTTATTTTTGTGTCGTTTACGTGTCGTGTTAACATATCGTGTAAGAAATTACCAGGTCTACCGTTGGATCAACCAACGGTCATATTATTTGGATCATTGGTTAGCCGAAGAGTCATCAGCTCTATTATGGAATGGCCGATAGGCCTGACCCCATGGGCTCACCATGCTTTCATCGTGTGAGTGTGAGGCGTTTGAGGTCAAAAGCGTAGGCCCACGCACGTTGGTGGGTTCGAGTGAGATATGAGTGAGATAAGGGTTTGTGTTGCAACTGACGTTTGAACATTATGTTACGAGATAAGTTTGTGTTGTGACTAGGGTTTAAGTTATCACAGCTATTACATACATTTCTTATACAACTCAACCAATAAAACATAAAAAACACACATACAAACAAAAAAATCAAAATCGTTTAAGCCTTCATTTGAGAGCAGTTTACATGACACAAATATATTGTTAATCTAACTTTTGGTGTTACTTATTTGGTTGCCTGACTAAACTTACGTTATTTATTCAATTGTTTGTTCCTTGGCTTAAGTGGGATTTGGTGATCCTAGTTGATGGGTAGGTATCTATTTTGACATAAAAAAGTAGACAAACACAAAAGATATAGATCAACACGTTGCGCTAATTGCCATATTATCGGATATCCTTTTTCTTTATGGGATTTTGAGATATAGATAGCCCTATTTCTGGTTTTTGTTGTTTTCAATGTCACATATAGTTGTCACGGGGCCTAAGGCTGCATTGTGGGGCTGGAGGTTGCATGTGAGTTGCGGCAGAAGACCAAGAACAAGAAGGCATCCCATGACCATTGAGTCTTGAGTTGTCCACTATAAACTTGCCCCTACTCCTCTTTTTTTGTTTGGGTTAGATATTGTTAGATGATTAGGTTAATGTTCATTTACTAGGTAATCACCGATTATGAATAATTATAGTAGTATGATACACATTCTCTGTTCTATAAACATGTTAGAATTTGAACATTCAATAGAAAAATATATGAAGAGGATTAAAACTTTATATTGCGATTCAATGCAATAAAATATACTTTTTCCTGTGATATACACACTTATTTAAATTTAAATCAAGTATGCAAACATGGGCGTAATCGAACTAGCTATAGCTATTTGACACTCTACATCAAAGTTAAAATCTCCTCATATAACTAAGAATAATGCTAATGACGATCGTCCACAAAATTTTCGGGTGATTTAAGACTATTGATGCATTGTGCGTTTTAGATGCATCATGCATTAATGATGAAAAGCCATTGAAAACACATGAGCGATTGACCGTAGTCAGCGTTCTCCAAACCGAAACATGGTATTTAGTAGTAAATGAGATTACTTATTCACCATCTCAATTGTAGGCTTGGAGCTACGGACAATATGGCCCTGCCCTTGTTGTTCGACATCGACAAAGATATTATGCATCAGTATATAGCAGAGGGGTGTATTTTTACTCACTATGTTCAAGTGCGGGTACTACTCATCATTATATCCACTATACACAAAATTCGAAATTTAAATTTATTCAACAATAAGCATCGCCATCGGGATTGGGAGCAAAACTATTGTCATAGTATAGTACCGGGCGATCCATGTCATATGTGATTGGGTGTCCATGTGGTTACAGAAGGATTGCCAGTTTCGAAAACGGTCACAAAATTAACGGCCAAATTTTCTTAGCCATATATCCCCCGCCCGTTGTACTCAATTTTTAGGCAGCTCTGCTTTCCGTGCCGTTGAGATTCACAAACGAACGAACTTAGACACCTCACCATTTACTGCCCCAATTTTTGCAACGTCAAACCCTATTAAAAGGAAATAGATAAAAAAAAAGTTGGAATTTTTATTTTCTAAAAAAACAATTTTATCTATATTAAAGTAAGATGGGCTTAGCCTCATAACGAGCTAGTAAAAATGTGGTTTAAATTCACATTTAGTAAGAGTGGAACATAAAACATCTCACTTACAAGTGCATGGGAATATCACTAAGCAGTAGTACTAAGTGGCAAAAAGTTAGAATTTTAAACTCAAAAAAATTTGTAAATGATTGAACCAAACAATAAAAAGGTCATATTGAGGAGAGATTTTGTCATGTCACTCCATATATATATACTCACATAAATTTGTTAAACCAATGAGAAATATAAACAAAAAATGTATATAAATCCAATGATCAAAAATTCAATTGTCCAAACAGAAATACAATTGTGTGTATAATGGCAACTAATCATGTTTCCGAACACAAATTCAGTCGACAAAATTATATTTAAACTGGCCAGTAATCAGTGTCCAAACAGAAATTCAATTGTGTGTATCTGTGATGCTAGACTAACAGTGTAATCACCGCTCGATGTGATTATAGGTTTATTAACTACTTTTATTTCTAATTTAACGATTAATTTAATCTCATATACCGTTATATTGCAACATGCAAGGCATACAGTTATCATATAAAACAACCAGCTTTTACTTGGTAAGAAAAAAAAAGGACCACCAACCTCCCCTCCCCAAGAAAAAAGTAGAAAAAATTGTATAAATAATTAGAAAATTGGACCACAACATTTAAATACATATATATACCAAATTCTATGTACACGTTGTTTATTGGGGATTAGGTGTGGGAACTAGATGAACTTAACAGAACAGCTAATGAAATAGCATTCCAAATAGGGCTGGAAAAAAGACCGAAAAATCAAACCGGATCTGAATCGTACCAAAACAGACTCGAAAAAAATATCAAGCCCATTATATTGAACCATTTGGTAACCGAACCGAAAAATTCCAAAAAAATCAGTATGTGTTTAAGGATTACAGACACGTTAGTTGGGGAAAACCGAACTAAACATAATTTAATAATATATATAATTTTAATTGGAAATTGTTATTGACACATTAAAATTTTTATTTTGCACTTTAAACTGTCTATATTTAAAAAAAAAAACATTTGTAAAGAGCATAATGAGATTTTTGAAGAACCAACCCTTTTTATTTTATGATAATTTATTATAGTCGTCAGATTGGTTGTGGTTTACTCTCAACCATTGAATTAAACTCAACTCTCTCTCGACCTCACCTCATAACTTGTGATCTTCTCTCTCGACTTAACGACTTCACCCATCTCTCTCTCTCTCTCTCTCTCTCTCTCACCCAATCACGACTACCACTCCTTTAGTTGTCTCTCTCCTTGTTCTAAACGGTGGCCAACCAACACCACTTTGTCCCGCTCGTCTCTCTTCTTCAAAGTAAGTCTAACTACGAATTGTGAAACTAAGAAATTAGGGATCTTCATTCTGAATTGGGGATAAATTTTAAATTTAAGGTTTTAATTTGGAATAAATTACTATGATCATGGGATGAATTTTAGGGTTTAAGAATTTGTGAATCGGAATTTGGGTCTTAATTTCTAAATGGGGGCTGTATTTCAAAATTTTGGATTTTAAATTGGGATAAATTATTAGGGGATGAGTTGAATTTGAGAGTTTAAGAATGTGAAGGTTGTTTCTTATTTGCAAGCTTGCAGCTAGTTGGAATCCTCCCGCAATTTCTCCTTTCTTCTTCTTTTTCGATATGCCTTTACCGAACCGATTCGATTTCCCGAATTTCTGAAAACCCAAAAAATACGGTTTGGTTTCAATACAGATTTTTAATTCTTAAACTAGTTTGATTCAATTTTTGGTATAGGTTACCAAACCGAAATTATTCTAGATAAATAATTAAGGAAAACTGTTGTAGAGTATAAGAAAATAGGATCTGAGCTAAGGATGAGGATCCTCCTGACCAAGAAGTATGGGCTATTATAATTATTATAACTTTAAAATGATCCATTGTTTGTAGCCGTTAAATTTTCATCCAATGGCGCACATTTCTTGATTAGGAGGATCCTCATCCTTAGCTCAGGAGAGGATCTTGATCCAAGAAAATAAAAACAAACCGACCAGAACATGAAAGCAATCCTTCTGCATGTCCTGCCCCTTCCAGAACCATCTCTAAAGCCATCTTCATTAAAATTATTCTAAACATTAATTAGCACTAATTACATTAGTTTCATTAACGACTATCACAAATAATATTTTTTATTATGGCAAATAATAATATTGGTATTTCTCATTACTTGTAAGTGTAAGATTTTAGATTGAATTATTGTGAAAAGCGAATTTAAACCACTTATTATTATCCCATTATAACACTAAGCATACCCATTTTTAATATAGAAAATACGTTCGTTAAAAATAAATAATAATAATAGACTGATATTATCCATCTCAGCCATAAAAGTTCGCCTTATATCTCAGCCTTTTCTTGCAACTCACAAAACCCGAGCTCTGAGTGTAAAACCAGATCACCTAGAGAGAGAAAGCTCAGCCATGGAGGGCAAGGAAGAAGATGTGAAGCTTGGAGCAAACAAGTTCCCAGAGAGGCAACCCATTGGGACCTCTGCACAGACACACAAGGACTACAAGGAGCCACCACCAGCTCCATTGTTTGAGCCAGGTGAGCTCACCTCCTGGTCCTTCTACAGAGCTGGAATTGCTGAGTTCATTGCCACCTTCCTGTTCCTCTACATCACCATCCTTACTGTCATGGGTGTCAATAGAACTACTAGCAAGTGTGACTCTGTGGGCATCCAAGGAATTGCTTGGGCCTTTGGTGGGACCATCTTTGCCCTTGTTTACTCCACTGCTGGTATCTCAGGTCTGTTCCTTCTCCCTTCCCATCTCTTCAGTTTTCAAGATTTTTCATAAAGTCGGTAACTTTCACTGAAAAAAATGCTTTCTTTTGGTGTACATTTCAGGGGTCGAATTTCTTCAGTTTTTTTTTTTTTTTTTTTTTGGATAAATATTTTGTGCTTTTTTCAAATTACTTTGATATTGGTTTTCTTTATTTTTCTTCTCCTCCCTTCCCATATCTTCAGTTTTCAATTTTTTGCATGAAGTTGGGTAACTTTCACTGGAAAACATCTTTCTGTTGGTGTATATTTCATGGGTTTCGTCATTTTTTCACTGTTGGGTAATTTTTTGTACGTTTCTTTAAATTATTGGATATGGGTTAACCATTTGATTCTTTAAACTTTTAACTTGGATTTTCTACCTTTGATGCTTGAAATGTTGTGATAAAATACTTTTTGTGATAAGATCTGTGTGTTTTCAATTGCATGTAACAGGAGGGCACATCAACCCAGCAGTGACCTTTGGGCTCTTTCTGGCAAGGAAACTCTCCCTTACCAGAGCCGTTTTCTACATAGTGATGCAGACCCTTGGTGCAATTGCTGGTGCTGGTGTTGTGAAGGGCTTCCAGAAGAACCAGTATGAGCTTTTGGGTGGTGGGGCCAACCTTGTTAACCATGGCTACACCAAGGGTGATGGCCTTGGAGCTGAGATTGTCGGTACTTTTGTCCTTGTTTACACTGTCTTCTCCGCTACTGATGCCAAGAGGAATGCCAGAGACTCTCATGTCCCTGTAAGTTATTATTTTTACTAATCTTTGTTATCATCTCTGACTTATATATATGCTTTTGCAGCTTCTGGATTTGTTAATTGTTTTGCTAATTTGAATTAGAAGTTGATTATTTTTCATGGACCAGTACTTCTTTGAGATGGTGCTGAATCTTTTGGTTAATTAATAGTATGATGGATGAAATTGTTTGTTGATTCTTGTTTTAGCTGGTACATTCCAGAATTTGGCTTTTCTGAGATTATGTTTAAATGGGTATATAATTCCATCCAAGCTGCCCTAATGGATGAAATTGTTATTGGATCTAGTCAATGGGACTGTAAAATCTATCATTTCTCCAGTTCTGTGAATCCTGGGGAAACAATGATGCTTGCCATGTGCTTGTTTTTGTTTGTTTCTGGTGCCCTTAAGGTGGAAAATTCTGCTGTTACCCAGAAGGTTTCACATGCATGTGAGTCCCACACTGGTGTTTGGTGGGTTTTGTATTTGTATATATGTGTATAAATGAAAAAGGGGGTGTTAGGCAATGTGACCTACCATTTAAGAATAGCAACAAGAAATTATACATGTGATTGGCAATCCAATTTGTATGGTCTCTTACCTATGCTGCACAAATACTTTAAATTTGGACGAGGGTCAATATCCGATACCCACGATACGTATCGGATCGTTGTCCAAATTATGTTAAATGCAGGAGTTGACCAAATGATGACACTTTCAAACAGTTGTTAATTTTGTTTAGCCTAAGTTAATACTATATCATTCTCTGAAGCTCTGTGGATAGAAAGATCATTCCTTTGGAGTTTGGACTGTGATTTAACTTGGAGTGTATATATCTGTATGCAGATTTTGGCCCCTCTTCCCATTGGTTTTGCAGTGTTCTTGGTTCACTTGGCCACCATCCCCATCACCGGAACCGGCATCAACCCTGCCAGGAGTCTTGGAGCCGCCATTGTCTACAACAAGGAGCACGCTTGGGATGACCACGTAAGTGAATTAATCAAAACTAATTAGGCAATTTCGTGATGAATTTTCGGTTTATTAATGATGGTTTTGTATACAATCTATTCTGTTTGCAGTGGATCTTCTGGGTTGGACCATTCATTGGTGCTGCTCTTGCTGCTATCTACCACCAGATAGTCATCAGGGCCATTCCTTTCAAGTCCAGGAGCTAATTTTCTTTAACCTCTCCACTTTTAAATTAGTGTCCCATTCTCCCTTTTTGGTGTCTTCTTCGCCTCCTTAATTGATTCAGTATGCAGTACAACTTAATCAATCATGTATTCAAAGTCTGTGACATGTTTTGAATGTAGAATTTATTTTATGGGTTAAAGTTTATTTATTACTGAACTTGGCAAGTAAGTCTAGAGAGAAAATGGACCGCGTACTTTAATGCCACGCGTTAATCTCGCTTATATGATATTGTGTTATTAGATTAGGAGGTCCGTGGGAGTGTCTCCGGTCCACCTAAGTCCACCTCCAATAATTTTCTTTTTTTTTTCTTTTGGGCCAATTTTTATAATGGGTCAGCCATAATAATGCGATTCAAATTTGTCTTTGGCGATAATCGAACCTAAGACATCTCACTTAAAAGTAAAGAGAAATACTACTAGGGCATAGTACTAAGTGGTCCAAAAATTTAGATTGAAAGGAAAAACGGTGCTGCTAGGAAATATTTCCCAATGATGGCTAACCACAAACACAAGATATAATGAGGTTAACCGTAAGTTAGGCTCACTTCTGAGTGATCCAATATCAAAGTAAACAAGATTACAAATGAAGATAAAATAGGCTGTTCCTCTTAATTCACTCTAAATCTCATTGCTCTCAATTATTCTCAATATACGTATATAGACTCCGAAATTCCAACTTTGAAGCTCACGTACCCTTAGCCTCAGGTTTTCTCTTTTAAGTAACATATGGTACCCTACGAGAGACTAGGTCACTGTCTGTGGGTGACAAGTAAGAAATAGCTACTGGGTGAGAGAAACTTTTTTGAATTGGACAGGCGTTTATTAGAAAAAAATTGTGTTGGTAGAAATCTCCGGTAGGGCGCATTAAAGGCTATGAAGTAGTGAGCTTTTCAAAGCTCCTTTTTTACCATTAGCAAGAACTTGTTTCAGCTGCAGATCATAAGGAATTCGAACAACTGCTTCAAATACAGTATCAGGAAGTATTTGTGTTCAAGGGTAGGATCATTTCGAAATGAACACGGCACACTTGGGGAATTTGACAAGAACACGATTAGGGATATTAGTATAAGGGATATTACTACTTTAAATTACACTAGAATTTGGCGAAGATCTAAACCTGTGATGCAGTGAGTTCAAAAAGCAAACCATAGCTATTAAGGCAATTCACTACTTCTAACACACACGATTGTTAATTGCTTCAGTTTTTCCAAACTTGAAGAAAATACAATTATTAACTGTGTTTCATGATAATGGCACAGATGGTTTAAATTTTTAGAAGTATATAGCTATTTAGTACTATGGTTTAGTGATATTTTTCCTTCATTTGCAATAGATAAATATTAGGTTTGAACCTCATATATGTCAAGTTCGATACCAATTTATTATTCCACTTAAAAAAAGTTCTCAGAAGTATAAATTTAACTATCAATTATAATGTTAATAGGGTTTTATCATGATTTGGTCTCGAAAAATGAGTTTCACAAATCTATTTGGTCCTTCCATTAGCTTCCCGTTAAGTTTTACGTCAATTTGCTGATGTGGCACATGAGTAGGTTCCAACTATCCAATCATTTGGTGCCACATGGATTAATCCTACAAATTTTTATTTTAAGATTTAAAAGCTAAATTTGACAAAACAAAAACATAAAAGAGGATAATTGCATAAGTCGATGGAGAGAGAGAGAGAGAAAGAGAGAGAGAGAGAGAGAGAGAGAGAGAGAGAGATTGTTGGAACTAAATTCGTGCACCACCGCGTGGGGTGGAGATGCCCAAACTTGACTACTTGTCAAATAGCAAATAACCACAAAGCAACCTTGGCACTAGTGGGGTGCTGGCCAAAAACTCTCTGATAGCCAAGTTAGTAAGCAGTTGATAAGATACAACCAATAGGCAAGGAAATAAAGTATGTCATAATTGCGCTACCAGAATTGAATCCTAAAAAGGTGTACTTATATCAGTTGAGAGAAAGACCTTTTTGGATATAGAATCCATACTAAACTGGGATAATCCTAGAGGATATCTAAAAGTAAATATTAAGGGTGGGCACGGGCCAGGCCTGGCCCAAAATTAGAGGGACCAAACTAAACCAGTTTGTAAATGCAACGGGGTGGGGCGAGGCGGTGGTGGGCTTTTCAGAATCGGAACCATACCTAACTCGGCCTATTTAAAACGAGTTGTAACGGGTCAGTTCCTACGGGTCCACTGGTCTTTTATTTTATTTTTCCTTTTAATAAACATTTTAAGTTTCAAGAATTTCTCAGGCCCCAACCCAAAAGAAATCTAATAGGTGAAATGAAACGCACAAATCCAACACTTTTCAAGCATTTCTGTTACAACCACCCCCAAATAATTGTAATATTTGTAATTTTCACCCCTAAGCTGCCATGTGTTAGCCATCTAACCCTTTCTTTTCTCTCTTTCTGCCCCCCCCCCCCCCGTGATCTCTCTCTTCTTCTTCTTCGTCCCTCTCTCCCGTAGCTCTCTTAACTCTCCCGTATCTCTCTCTCCCTCTGGACTCACGAAGATCATATCACCAACAGGAAAGACTCGCAACGAACCCAGGATCCCTGCCCTGTGAACTCGACGGCACAGAGCAAAGCTCCGGCGAGCTTTCTTTCCTTTTTCCCGTCGGGTAAGTCTCGAATCCCTCGTTCTCGTATGCATGTTTTAATAGTAGAAATGCATACATGAAAGACATGATTTACTGATTACGTTTTAGGAAACGTTTTGAGATAACATGCTTACTAAGGCTAGTTTGAATTATTACTATTTTTCCTATACACTATGTTCTTATAGAATATCCAATGGATGACGATATGATATTTAGAACATGTTTCGAACACCTCTTTATAGTATAGATGATGGATGACTTTATACTATGAAGTTGTTTTTCAATATATATATGTTCAGTGGTTTTGTACTTACCTAGTGGTCATTTCCTCTACGGGACGTAGGGATAGATTCCGGTCCGTCCCGGGTGATGGTTTGGTGTTGGCATAGGGCCTGGAGTGTGTTTCCTCTGGCTATTTAGCACAGGGACGGGGAGTCGGCATGGGGCCTGAAGTGTATTTTCCTCTGACTGTCTGCTCAGAGACGAGGAGCCAGCATGAGGCCTGGGGGTTATCGGACAATTCACTAGTGATTATTATATATACAAGTTATGATTTGAGACATTGCATGGCATGCTAGGTTTTGGAAAACCTATGTTTATCATTATATATGTGTTTTCATAAAACCTGGGGGTTAGTACGTGGATAACTGTTTTATTATATCTATATCAAATTGGTCCACTTATGTTTGTTTTGCATCCCCTTCAGGATTTAGAATCGAGGCATACAATCCCGGCATCCAGACACTTCCGCATTGGTATCTTCGAGTCCTCTCGGTGTAGGACCCACTTCTGTGTTCATTCAATTTTTATATTAATTCTTTTAGACTTCTAGATTAGATGTGTGCTCTGAACACGTTCCTTAAATGTATATTCCTTATTATTTTACATTTATAAGTTTTATCTATCCCTTGTTTTTAGCATTTGCACTCAATAAATGGCTTTCGTCACCCTCGGGTGTCGACCAGCACGAGCCTATCCTGGTATTCGGGGAATATCGGGGTCGAGGCATGTCAGATTGGTATCAGAGCATGGTTTGTTCAGAGCATACTTAGGATCTTCTCTTACTAAATTAGTGTGTCAGTTTTGACTTCATTTGGATGTCAGGACTTCTGGATTTTATGCCATTTGGCGTAGTTATGCAAATCTTCTTTGTTTGAATTGTCACATTCTGGTTAAAATACAAGAATTCGTGTCGGGATTGTGCCTCATTAGTGATGTGCTTGAATTATTGGATGACTTTCAGCTTCGGATCGATACTCTACGATGTGCATTCCCTGGGAATGACGGGCATGGTCGGTGTTACTTGAAGCGACTTGTTTTAGAAATCTCAATTTGAGGAAGTCTGGTCAAGACCAGCTGTAAATCTGAAATGGTGATGCCACTTTGCAACATGCGTTCCCTAGGAATGGCGGGCATATTCATATCTCTTGGAAATTACTCGAAACATTCAAAGTGCGTGCTAAATAACGAGTAAGTGCTATTGGTGACGACGGTTAGTAAGTGGTAGTTGGTGGGAGCAAATCAATGTTCTTGGACTCGTTTCCATTAAGGATATTCGTGTGAATCTTTAGAATGAATCTTCAGTGATTGTTCTATCGATAACCTTCTTGCTTATTCCAATGACGAAGTCAAGTTCACAAACCTTTGACCGTCAGCTTCACATCAAATTCTTCAAGTGTTGACTTCGTTTACATTAATTGTTTTCTTAGGAAGCTCCTCGGAAGCAGACGCTATTCTTACCAATTTCCAAATGGAGTTGCGATTCTTCTTGTTGTTGTAGTTGAACTTGGATGATGAAGACCCAAACTTGTTTGGATAAACAGACTCCTTGAATTTCCCCTGGGTCTGGTACTCGGTGGTAAACCTTAGCTCCTTGTTCACGTACCTTTCGGTAGAGGTGAACTTAGCCTCTTGCTTGTAGCTTAACTGACCAATGCTCTTGTCCATTAACTGTTCATCCTTGTAATTTTCAGTGAAATGGCTTAAGACTCTACCATATTCATCATTGTATGAAGATCGAGCTTTGCTCTAAACTTCTCTGGACTCATTGAGCTTTGGTTTACTAAAAGGTATCACTTTAAGGTAGCCAATTGTGTCACTGCATGCATACGCAGGCTGCTTCGTATCCTTCTTCTTCGTCATTCTGTTAATTCAGAGGTTTTATGTTTCATTTTTGAACTTTGAAACATCTCTCACAAAGCATTATGAATTTTGAAATGTCTTTGGCCTCGTCAAACCTTATTAAAAGTTCTTAACTATTCTTGAGATTAGACCTGTTCCTTTTGGCTAAGAAACTAGTCGACCCTATTGTGATGATTAGCCAAATAATCATAAACAGTGACTTCTATTTCTGCATCTTCATTTTCCTTCGCTTGTTTGTTTCTCAATGTGAACTGGATCATGTCGGAACAATACATCGAGGGTGAAAAAAAAAAAAAGT